GATTTAATTTGCAATCGTTGGCAATTAGGAGAGGGGTCCTAGATTTAATGACATTATATAAAATTGTAAACTTTAAAATTGAGTCCTCTAATTTATTGTCTCAAATTAATTTTAACACTAATTATCGCACAAGAAGACCTAAAATGTTTACACTTAATGTGTATCTTAATAATAGTTCTTACTATAACCCTATATCTAGAATGTGCCGCCGATATAATGAACTCATTGGTAATGGATCGGATATTGATATTTTCAACTGTAATACATTAACTTTTAGGAGAAGACTTTTTAACGCATTGGTGTAATTTTTTACTTTTTTTAATTTTTTACTTTTTTTTAAATTAATATGTAGTGACTTAGCGATGTTATTCAAAATTCAAAATTATAATTATAAAGAATGTAATAGTTATTTAAGTATATAAATGTATGTTTTTGTTTAATTTGTGTTTGCAGTATGTACATGTGAAGGGTCGCAACCTTGATCACTGTAAAACATACTTTTAATTTGTATTTTCACCCGGTTGTCACCTGTTTTGTACATCTTAATAAATAAATAAAATAAAAATAAAAATTATAAACAAACGTTGCCTAACTAAGTGCTCAGTAAGGCATTACCTAACGTTACAGGTGAGGTCACAACAAATCTGCTTACGCTATTAATAATATTAACGGTCAGTTGCACTAACGTCCATTAAAGTTTAATGACGACTTTAAACTCTAATCAATGTTCCAAATTTGAATATTTGTATGGGTAATGTGGCGTTAAACTAACGAGATTTTTAATGAACGTTTGTGCAACTGGCTGTAAATGATTTCTAGTTAGATATGCCTTATTCTAGGTTAGTGAAAACGGGCATTAGAGTGAGACAGCACACTCACCTCTGCTTCTCCTGCTCCCACAGCTCGGTGGTATCACTCAACCAAGGATTAGGCCATTCCGGTGGAGTCAAAAACGCATCGTACTCAGCATACTGTTCACAATAAGCTATAAACCTAAACAACATAAAAAAAAACAGAATTAGAACAATATAAGAGCCCAAGGAGCCAATTAGCGCTCTCGTTCCGCGTTACGGTTGTTAAGCAACTTTCGCAATGGCCTGTCATAGGATGGGTGACCGACTGCGCGGTGTATGGCCTTCGGGCCGATCCCACCTCGCCCACCATGAGAGGGACATCGCTGAGTTTTAGTGGGTAAACTCCTGTATTTTGTCTAGCCCCCACTGTGGGGGCGGGACCACAGGAGGAGTCCCACAGACCCCGTGAACCCCAGCGCATGGGGGGAGCGGACATGCAGAATACATTTCTCAGCGCCAAAAAAAAAAAAAGGATGGGTGACCGAAAATTTATTAGCTCTCCGTGCTTCGGAAGGCTCGTTAAGCCATTGGTCTCGGTATCTGCAGTCATTAACACCCATCAATCCGCGATGGGCCCGTGCGGTGGGTAATGGCCCATTCTCCCTATTCGATTAGTGGTCGACTCCATACATGGAGAAGGCCTGAGCCGCAGCAGTGGGGATAGGTTAGTGGGGATGGTACAATCAATTACGCGACGGTATGTACATGTATAATCCTTGTACATATACAAGGATATTATGTAAGTAACAAGAGGTACAGTCAAATACAAATACAATAATTTCAACAAATTGTAAATAGATTAAATAATTTCAAAAAAAGTAGTAAAGTTAGTAAATTTCATTTAGTTCAAGAACCCTTTTCAATGAGCCTATAAACGATATATCTGTTAGTTTTCGAGGAGTAAGGTTCATAGATCGCTGGTTAATATCCGGCTCGAAGGACCACAATTTTTCAAGCACTATGTTCATGTTTATGCGACTAGCCGATTGGTTCGCACGCTGATTTCAAAGTGTCGCTATCTGTAAGGTCGCGGGTTCGATTCCCGGTCGGGTCTACGTAGAAAATGAACTTTTCTTTTTTTTCTCGGGTCTAGGTGTTGTGGTACCTTCATTGTCTCAGATACTCCATAATACGGGATCTTTATATCATATCTATACGAGATGATATAGTTTCACAAGTTAAACAAGATAAACTTTTTAACATATCAAACCAAAGTGTTTAAAATGTACAAAAAGATAGAACCCTTAGACATGTTAAACAAAAACCATTTAACATGCCACAAGAGATAAAACCGTTTAACATGTCATAACCACTACATAGTACAAAACAAAGTCGCTTTCTCTGTCCCTATATCCGTATGTATGCTTAAATCTTTAAAACTACGCAACGGATTTTGATGCGGTTTTTTTTCATAGACAGGGTGATTCAAAAGGAAGGTTTTTATGTATAATACAAGAGCACGCCGGCAAAGCCGCTGGCGGAAAGCTAGTATAACAATCCAATCTCCGTTCAACTCACATTTCAGCTACTTTGCTGACTCTAACGTTTCTACGTTCCAATCTCGCTTTGAGCACAGCCAGTTGTTTACGTGCCGCGTCTATTTGTGCGTTTATATCGGGCGCGGTCGATTTCTCAGCTGTCACAGCATCCACTGACACGTCTTGCTGAGACGTCTCACCTAAAACGATGACGGTAGATGTATAAAATCGTAATATCAAAACAAACAGACGTAGAGTGGCGTAGTGGATAAGCGCCGCGGCCCGCGATCGTTGTCGTTAAGCAATTTTCGCAAGGGTCGATCACGGGATGGGTGACCGAAAAATTATTATCCCGAGCTACTCCGTGCTTCGGAAGGCACGTTAAGCCGTTGGACCCGGCTGCGTTTGCAGTCATTAATATCCGCCAATCCGCATTGAGCCAGCGTGGAGGGTCATGGCCCATCCTCCTTAACCATCCATAAGGAAGGCCTGAGCCCCTGCAGTGGGCACGTAAAAGGGCTATTGATGATGAAACAAACAGACAATTAATAAACACGAATCAACTTCAATTTATTCATTGCGGTGGTCTCAATACGATCTATGTAAAAGTAATCATTGAAGTAATACTGGGTAAATGCATTGCTATGTTCAATAAAGTTCCATAAAATGTAGTTGACCTACCCATAAATAAATTTCAAATTCATGTAAAGAACATACTTATGAGTAAAGGCTATTATAAAGTTGATGATTATTTTAAGGAACGCAATGCATGGAATTAATAGCCTTAGCTTTGTTCTATGACGACTAATTATATGTTCAACCTATGTCCTACAGACTTTGAAAGTTGTATTTATTATTGTATGTAAATGTCATTACTTATGATAAAGAGCTGGTAAGTTTCTTTCGCTTGTTCTTCTTGTCAGCTAAAATACGTCCTGAACAAGTGGTAGGGGACAAAAGATTTTGGACGATTCAAAAGTGTTTGTAATAAGCTTACTTGAATAAAGACATTTTCATTTCATTTCAATAAATTCATATTATTAACAATATGAGGATTTGTTGTGTCAACATTGATAATAGATAATAGAGTATTATATATTTGGCTGATTTAGTTTTTTTAAACAATTGGTAAACATATACGACTGAATAAACTATATTTTTTTTTATTAATGAAGAAATATTAAAAAAAAAACATTTATTCCCGAAAAAAAAGATGTCGCTACGGTACGTTCTTGATTTCTCCACGACAACCCTTCCGGTTTTCTTTCATGTATAAAAATAAATTAGTTTTCAAAACTCAATAAACAAATCATATTCTATTTGTATTTTTTCGTATTTGTATCGATATCTAAGTTTCGATCTTTGCAAATTTCAGTTTCTTAATATGTTAGTTAAAAGGAACGGAAATGACTGTCTTTGGTCCATTCGTTTCCTGCAAAAATCAACTTTTGCTAGAGTCGCCATCTAATGAGGTGCTTTTTTAGTGCTTTCGTTTTTTTTTAATACTTTCTCATTATATCTTGGTAAGACCTTCAGCTTACAAACATAAATTTTATTAAGAATAGGAGACAGACAGTCTCACAAATATGAACCAAACTTTACACTTACAACTAATAAATCATTGCTTAATTGTTTACAATTAGTTTTATTAATAAACAAGGTTTAACGTTGGAGTAAATTCACGCTGAGACTGCACTTAGTATTAGTCAAAATTCATATTATTAAACAGAGACTTGGCAAAGGTTAACCTAGTGCGAGGTTCTATGGGAGTTATATTTGTCTAACCGGTTTATTTATAAACATCCAAAACCAAAGAAACTATCGATTTGATTTTATCCGAAAACAGCTTAGAGATATCAGAACAAGAATACCGGTTTTGTGAACCGGTTCTACTAAAATACTTGCTGAATTTCCACTAAAAAGATATTAATCCGTTTGAAAGCGAAACTTTCATACTGAACCGGTTTCAAGACCTGCACAGAAGCTCTCAAACAGATATCTCACCGTTTTCCTTGGGTGCAATATCTGAAGTTTTCTTCTGAATCTGCTCCTCGCTTTCTTGTGGATTCGTGATTGTCACTATCGGATTGTTCTGTGAATATATAAAAATAAAATGAGACTTAATGAAATCAAAGATAGGTAATAACTAACTTGAAGATCATCGAAATCATCATCATCATCACCAGCCCTTTTAACTGTAAATGCAGCCGGGACCAACGGCTTAACGTGACCTCCGAAGCACGGAGTAGCTCGAGATATTAATTTTTCGGTCACCCATCCCGTGACCGACCCATGCGAAAGTTGCTTAACGACAACGATCGCAGGTCGCGACGCTTATCCACTACACCACCGAGCTACCATCGAAATAAATTTGTCTAAATGTATTTTTGAATAGGCTACTTGAGATAACGAAATTAGTTATGGTATGATGTTGTGACGCCGCTCCAATTTTATTTTTGGGCAACCGCCCTACAATTTTATTGAAAAACGCTCCGCTTATGCGCCTTGGGCTAGCGGCGATGAATGACGTCACGCATTACGTCACCCGCCGAGCGTATGCGCATCCTTGTCGCACGCGCTCGCCTTGTAATGATGCGTGCCTTTTCTTTTGTTAACGCAGGGGAATGCACCTTAACCCTTAAACCAGGGCTCCTCTTCCATCCCGCCCTTAAAAGGGTAGGTTTATGTGGAAGCCGCCCTATCTGGTAAAACCCCTCATTTTGTCGAAACGAGGACTTTAAACTAGGTACCTCATGAGTGAGGGACTTGGCGGAAATATCGGTGAACATACATAAAAAAAAATACATAGGCGTCGAACATATAACCTCTTGGATTCCGACGTAGGTTAAAAATGATAACCGGTCGACTTCAATTGCTCCTTGAACAATAAAGTCGGTTTTAAATATAATTTCTAACTTTTTAATCTTTGAAGTCGATTCATTTTTTAGTTTTTCTTTTAAAGGCACATTACAAATTCCCTAACATTTAACTAACCTTGAGATTATGTTGCAGTATAAGGTCCTGAGCTTGCCTCAATCTCTTCGCTTTCAAAGCATTGATCCTGGACAACTTTCTCGGGTCCAATTCTGTTGTATTCACACAGCCGGGCTACAATTGAAAAAAAAAGCAATAACATCCTCCATATTTTATAGTGCTAACGGGGATGATGCTTAGGTAAAAAAAAAGAAAGAAATTCTTTTTAGACCGTCTGTCCGATTAAAGAGAAACACTATATGAAGAAGAAACATTTATTGATCTCACAAATGCTAACGGGGATGATACCTGGGTTAAATAAAGAAAGAAATTCTTTTTAGATCGTCTGTCAGATAAAAGAGAAACGCTATATGAAGAAAAAGAAACGTTTATTGATCTCACAAAGGTACAAACAAGATAGTATATGATTAAAAACACATAAAGCACGATAAATACACAAAATATACAGAAAAAGAAAAAATAATGTACATAATGATATAAAAAGAAAGAAAGTCAGATCAACCAGGACTCTGGACTTTTTGTTGCTTTAATTCAACAAGAACTTTGAGAATAGATATTATATTTAAAATCCTCTAGTCCCAGGCACTCTGAGATAGGACTCGAACACACGACCTTTAGCAATCCGGGCGACTGCTCTAACCACTGAGCTTTTCATCCCATCCCAGGTACAAAGAGGATTTTTTGTGCGTTTTTCATTATAAATATTTTTCAGTATAGCATTGGGAATGCAAAATTCATAAAATATAATAATTAGTCAAATATAAAAAAACATACTGTACAACTTTGTGTGAAAGGAAATAAATAAATAATATTATTACTAGCTTTTGCCCGCGACTTCGTCCGCGTGATATAGTTACTTTGGGCATCATATTTTCCAAAAACGCTGTTGTTTTTTGACCTGATGATGAAATTACCTTGATGTTTAAGTTCGAAGATAGTACAACAAAATACCAACGAATGTCCAATATGTTTCAGCACTTTATCTTTGAAACTTTAGATATATTAATCCAATTCAATGCAATTTGAAATACAGATGAAAAAAAACAGTTCTGAAGTTTACAAAAAACTTAATCAAAACGTAATCTACGCAAAATTCTTTGACAGAAACGTTACCGCAGATTACTTTAGAATAAAGCCATCTATTGGGTGTATTTGCAACCTAGATGTCAAACGATATTGAAGAATTTTATTTATGAATCACGGTACACCGCCATCTATGAGAACTTCATAAAACTAAACAGTAAATAAACACTTGCTTAAGAAACAATTAATTAGTACATTTTATTCGTTTACATTCACGACATAAGCGAATAATTGAGATGATAACTATCCTATCCAGTAAGTTAGACCAAAATACGGGTACATGAGATTTTATTGAAATCGGTTCAGTAGTTTTGGAGTTTATTGGCAACATACATCGTGACACAAAATTTTATATATATACTAGCTGACCCGACAGACTTCGTCCTGTCAAAAAGATTTGTAATGTGGCAGTTTTTTTGCCTACGTATTTAAAAAAATTCTCCTGAACAGAACCGTCACCCTGGTGATAGGGCGTTGTGAATAAAAAATAATTAAATAAAACATATATAAGGATTTAAAAGTAAGTAATCGCTTTATTGTTAATCATGTGAATCATAATTATTATTGCAATGTATTAATAGTAATAGTATTAAATATAGAAAAAAGAGATTTTTATGATCATAAAAACACATTACACACAACAGCATTATAAAAGTAAACTATTCGAATTAAAAAAATATATAAACATTCTCAAGGAAAAATGCTGGAAGAATCCATCTACCTGTACCCCGGAATGGGACTCGAACCCATTCGCGATCCAGGGACTGCTCTAACCAATGAGCTATCTAGGACCCAACAGCTTTGCTACTACAGAGCGTATTTTCATCAATGTTCCGGCAATACATGTAATGACGTGGAAACTGATGCATTTTATCTCGCGTGCCGAAACTAATACAAAAGAAACGCGAGTTTCGGAACGCGACATTAAACTCCTCCAACTATGTATTCTGTGCTCCAACGCACACACGCACATTGTTGTTTTGATAGATATGATCTTTGACGTTAGGAACACACCTACATTGCTTAGACAACAGTGAGTGCTTGTAATTTAATATGAACTTTATACCATAGCTATAAAGCTCAAATTGACTACGTTTTAGTTACAAATCATTTGTATGGGAAAAAGAAAAGGGCTATTTTTAGGGTTTTTCCAGCAATAATTCTAATTTTTCTCGCCGTAAAAACCATCCTTGAACTTCAACGAACATTTTAAAAAAAGATTTGGCCAAATTGGTCGAGGCGTTGTTGAGTTATGCGCTTACCAACACATTTTGCGATTCATTTTTATATATATAGATATATATATATAATAAGTGCTTGAAAGATTCGTCAGTCCTGTAAGGTCCAGCGTAACTCAGTGGTTAGAGCTGCCCGGATTGTGAAAGATCATGTGTTCGAGTCCAATCTCAGAGTGCGAGGGACAAAGTGAACTTTTTCATTAAGAATATTAGATAATAGGTATTAAAGTTGATGAGGGCTCGCTACGTCACAACTATGTAGAAAATGTACATACAAAGCTATATGACATTTGAACTCAATATATCGCCGTAATTTGTTGACTAGGCAGAAAATAACCAAAGAGACCGACAGACAAAAAAATACAATTATTGCTTAAACGGCATTAACGAGTTCCTGATATTTCGGCAAGCGACATGATAACGGAGTAACTGAAGTATATGCGGATGGGTATTATTGGAATATATATCAATCTACTATTTATTGGGAACTCAACAAAAACAATATACAAGATGCCGTTTTCAGCAATTATTCTGATGTTAATGACAAATGAAAGTTTAAAACTCTCTCTCAATTGACTACTTAAATGGGAAGAGTCTTTTAATATATGATCAGTCGCTTTCCGCCAGCGGCTTTTGTTAAAATTATTTATTTAATATAAAAAATACGTTAAATAAAACCATTGAGTTTTGCCCGTGTGCTCTTGTATTATACATAAAAACCCTACTTTTGAATCACCCTATTTATGAAAAAAAACCGCATCAAAATACGTTGCGTAGTTATAAAGATTTAAGCATACATAAGTTATAGGGACAGAGAAAGCGACTTTGTTTTATACTATGTGTTGATATTAAACCACTATCAGACAATTTTTTCTCTAAAAAATGTTTTAAAACATATTAACATTCGTTGTGTAGTTAACCAATGTTAATATGTTTTAAATTGCATAAAATTGCACTGTTAAATGGGATAAAATTGTATCCTTTATATTCATCCAGGGTTAGAATTATCCGCATACCAAATTTCATCAAAAATCTGTTCAGTAGCTTTTGCACGAAAGAGTAAGAAACATACATACAACCTCACAAACTTTCGCATTTAAAATATTAGTAGGAAAAGATTTAAATTGTCCCACGAAACAACGACTAGTCACGTGACATTTCAAGATGTGACGTCAGATTTCAATAAACACACGAGTTGCACTCGCAACAAAGACATTTAGTTTATTGAAATGTGAATGTACAGATTTATTTACCTTAAATTTTACAAAAATATAATATATGTCGCATCATCTTTACGAAGATCGTTTGATTTAGTTTCTTTTATTTTAATGCTAGTTACTCGATTACTTAACTACTCGATTGTAGAGAGAGCGTGATCATCGATACTTTTAATTTTATTAGAATGGTGACACTGACTTTGACAGTACGTTAACAAAAAGCAAGTTGCCGCCATTTTGGCACACATTCTGTTTCGGAACGCCGAAGAGTAAAGACATCCGACGACATCACGCTCATCTCGTTATATTTTCGTAAGGAAAGTGATAAAATGGAACAAATCCACGTTGGTATACACGCATGCAGTGTTATTTTAAAGATAGTCCTCCGATATGGCCGATCTATTTGGGCTTCGTAATAGGACCTTCTGACTACACGCCGACATATATTACAATTTATATTAAAAAAATAAACACTACAATAATTATTTTTTACACATAAGTTACCATTTCCAACAATTTCGTTTTTATTGCTACAAATAATTGTCAATAAGCCAATCATTATTATTGTTTATAATCTCACCATAGGTCTGTGTACATCCCAAAACGCTCGCTCCTGGCTGTCCAGAACCTTCCTCTCCAACTTATCCCGTTTCTTGTCCACCTAAAATGAACACATAATTTTTATTATTACATCAATATCAACATGGAATGTTGTAACTAGGAAACAAGTATGTTTAAGCAACGCAGAATAGGGATGACAACTTGGTAATAAAAAAAGAATTTTTTGTTAGTCCATCAGTCAGATAACAAAAAAATATTAGATAAGCGTTTTTTCCACTTTAATACAACAAGAAATAGGGGGTTCGTTACGTCATAGACTTGTAGAAAAACAAAAGCGTGACGTCACGTGATATTTTAACTCAATGTATCTTCGTAATTTAATCGTTACCTGACGAACGAACAAAAAAAAAATTGTCTTCAACCCTATTCTGCATGTAATGACACAATATAAGTATACAATATTATTTTGATAATATAATACAAGATTAAATGTCAAAATCCTGTATTTAGATGGGAAGTTGCTGAGCACCGTTCGTGCAAATAATACACATTATCTTCTGTCCGTCCACTCTGACCAACTAAAACCGATCAACTATTTTTCTTTCTTCTTTGATAGACATATTTTTTATATAGATATTTGTTATGATAACTACATAAAAAAAATATATGAGTATCAATAAATCTTTTTTTAATAGAACCAACTTCAAACTTAAAAAAGGTGAGTTATGATCAGTGGTCGGAATTAGGTAGAGTTATTCATGTACTTACACTGATTTCATACAGCGAAAGAATAAAGTGGATATGCCTCAAATCCCGAGATTAATGCTAAACAGCTCATCCTTCGATAGTTGTTGTTGAGAGACTTTCACAAGGGTCGGTCACGGGATGGGTGACCACAAAACCATTATCTCGAGCTACTAGCATTTGCAGTCGCTATAACCCTATAATCCACATTGGACCAGCGTGTTTAATATGGACCATCCTCCAACCATCCATAAGGGAGATCTGAGCCCCTACAATAGGGAAGTTAAATGGATGATGCCGATTACTATACCTTGCTCTGTGCCTCCGCTTGCATGAATATGAACTCCCATTTCCTACTGAACATCTTCTGTAGTCTCGCCAACGATTCCGCTTCATAATCAGCCAGTTCCAATCTAGCTTTATTCTGCATCGTACGCTTGCACAAGTACACAGCTGAAACAAATACAATATATTCTTAATGAAAAATGCTAAAAAAAAAACATTTTGTTGCTGGCACTCTGAGATGGAACTCAAACCGATGACCTTCCGCAATCCGGGCGACTGCTCTAACCACTGATCTACCCAGGACCTAACAGGACTGACGAATCTTTCAAGCACTTGTTACTTTTTCGCTTTCCACCAGCGGCTTCGGCCGCGTGGTCCTTAGAGAACTGTCTATTTGAATATCGATTCATTTCGCGACACGAATATGATTACAGTGATAAATCGAATAGTTAAATTGAGTTGTAATGGTTACTATGGTAACTTGCTAGCAATGGTTACTGTGGTAACTTGTTAGCAGGGTTACTGTGGTAACTTGTTAGCAATGGTTACTACGGTAACATTTAATTCCCTATACAAAATTACACTCTCCCTTTATTTACTGTTTTTTCAAGATAAAGCATAGCCTATGTCCACTGCATATGATGTAGCTTCCCGTAGGTGACATTTTTTTTTAAATATCGGTCCAGAAGTTTCGAATCCTATTCGTTATAACACAAGCAAACAAATCTTTCCTCTTTATAATATTTTCCTATTCGGTCCCACGAGCTTAAAAAGATGCTTTGGTCACGTGACAAACCGTTCCCGCGAGCCTCTTAATAGGTTCTCAAGCCAGCGGTCAATGAAAATATAAATGTCTTTTTTCAGTAACCTATCTATATAACAAGAATAACAGAAGTAACGTAAATGTTATAATATTTTTACAAATAAAAATAAAAATAAAAAATGGCGAGATAGAAAGTATGCTACTTTCAAACGCGTGATTATTAATTTTTTACTTTAGAAATATACGTCTTTTATACATCGATTATAATTGCATACACACTTTTTTATTTCAAGCCGCCGTTTACTTTCATGCGTTGATTTACGATAAGGGTTGGTATAGACAATGACGTCAAACAAGGCGTCTTACCATAATCTGTATTCTCTGGTTCCCACTGATTTGACGGCCAGAAGTAAGGTGTTTGGAATCTATAAAAAAAAAAAATACTTCCTATTAAAAATAGTAACACTGTGAATCGTAAAGGAGAAAGTTCTGAACATTTAACAATCTTAATTTTTCAATTGAACTTTCAATTTAACTAAGCGTGTTGTTTATTAATTATTAATCAGTAATTAGTGTTTTTTGAGTTGATAACTGGGCATTTGTGTAATGTGACATATACATTTACTCTTCGGCCATAACGGATGTGTCAAAGGATAAAATCAATTTAGTAAGTAGGAATCAATCTCCTACGTGAAGTTGGCAGTAATGTGGTGACGCAGTGCCATTAAAGTTAAGAAGAAGAAGTAGGAATCACAGAGTTTATTATATTAGAATTAAGATATTATATATATATAAAGTGTTTTGAATTTTCAGACTTTTTATAAATGGACAATGACGATTTGGGTGCTCGTGTAAATACATGACCACTTAAATTATTACTTGTTTTATTACCTCTAAATATATATTTTTCTCATTTGGTTAGTTAACTATTTACGTATGAAGGCCACTAACGTGACATTAGTGGAATTGTGTAAACGCAAATATGACATACATTAAAAAAAGAAAAGCAACTGAACCATGCAAAATTATAGACAAGCGTTCCTTAACTAAGCAAGTACAAGCAAGCAAGTATGGCATTACAGGTTACAGGTTTGGTGAAACGACAAATCTTACACTATATATTTTACTATGTACACTATTTTTATATAGTGGGTACACATATATTTTACTATTTACATTAATTTATACCTATTCTAAGGCCTTGCATACTTAAATTTACCTAAATCTGTGCTTGGGTTGGGACTTGCCTTAAGCACAAAGCACCTCATAACGCATATCACAACTTTAGATATTGCTTAAAATCTTTAGGCGGTTCCTACTCATTGGTTAAATGCACTTTAATCTTAGGCAATTCCTGATTATATTAGGCGACTCCTAAGGTTGCTACTAACTTACCTGTAATAAGTGTTGTCATTCTTGACAGTAAGATTGTGATCATCAATTGGGAACAGATAGCCATGAGCGGCCAGCAAGTGAGCAAGATGTAGAGCCTCCCAGGTGTCTTCTAAGCGTAATTCTCTGGATAACCAGGACACCAAATCGGCACCGGTAAACACCTAATATAAACAAAAAACAAAACCATTATCTATCCAAATATGTATATAACCCTCTAGAATAATGCTATTTATTTGTTTGATTAATACCCGCACCATTGCTCAGATTGAGCTATGAAACTTTTGTCTTTGTGTGTGGGCTCACCTTGAGTGAAATCAGGAAGATAGTGTTGTGTGCAAAGTATAGTTTAGAATGATTGTTGTAATTTTTTTGTTGACATTGGAAATAGTAATTTTATTAAATGTATTTTTATTATTTTGACACAATATTAGACTGTCTGACTCACTTTGTATTTGGTATAGGTTTTATTTATAATGAACAATGTAAAATTATGATTTTAACTTGTTGGTATTTTGGATTTTAATCTGTTGGCTGACCTATAACAAAATAAATAATACAAGTGTAATTAGGAGCACAATAGCCCAATCCTAACACTCCAATTTTATTTATTTGTATAGATAAGTTTTACATTAAACTATTAAAAAGCACCTTTGATATGTATATGTAATGATTTATTATAATTTAAATTGGTCCCGCCCACACCAGGTGTTCCAATACCAGACCTCCGCACTATCTACTGAGTGATGTATACCCATAGTAAATCAAAGTCCTGTAAATTCTGTGTACACTTCTATAGGTAGGTTTACTCTCCGGACGATTTATGATCAATGCTGGCAGCTAATATTTTGAATTATTACTTTTTCCGCGTTCGAATTAGCAGTGTCCTATCTTGCTGATATATAATCTTTGTTTCAGGACGTCTCCACCATAGGGATAGTAACTTTAAAATTATGATATTTGTTTAATTGTAATAATACATATATAAATTGAATATTATATAAAAATATCTTTGATTCCATAAAAGAATCCCTATCCCATAGGTGTGATAGTACTTTGATATAGAGCTTTAGCAAGCTCTTGTACATTTTAGTCACGACCTCTTAGACTATATTCGAATATTAGCTTGTTATCGCTATTCACGGCATCTCTAGTATAAACGATTTGTATCGCCGTCCATACACCTGTATCGTTCACATTATGTTGTATAAGACGCCATAGGTAAAAACCAGTCAAGTGCGAGTCGGACTCGCGCACGAAGGGTTCCGTACGGAAATCCAAAAAAAAATCACGTTAGTCTAACTTTCACGGTTCACAAGATACAGCCTGGTGAGAGACCGGCAGCGAAGACTTTTATAACATATTTTTTTTGGGATAGGAGGCAGATGAGCAGTTCTGATGGTAAGTGATTACCGTCGCCCATGGACACCTGCAACACCAGAGGGGCTACAAGCGCGCTGCCGACCTTTGAGTTTTACTCTAAATAAGACTTACCGAAGGTATCTTGGACATGAAACTTTTCACAGTACGCACTGGTACACCTGTATTCTCATCTTGCATCTTTTCAATAATAGCCTCCATCTGTAATAAATTACACAAACCATATATGTAATAAAATAAAATAAATAAATTCAAAAACGTGGCTATAGCTTAGCTCGGTGGGGTAGTGGATAAGCGCCGCGGCCCGCGATCGTAGTCGTTAAGCAACTTTCGCAAGGGTCGGTCACGGGATGGGTGACCAAAAAATTATTATCTCGAGCTACTCCGTGCTTCGGAAGGCACGTTAAGCCGTTGGTCCCGGCTGCATTTGCAGTCGTTAATACCCTCCAATCCGCATTGGGCCAGCGTGGAAGGTCATGGCCCATCCTCCTTAACCATCCATAAGGAAGGCCTGAGCCCCTGCAGTGGGGACGTAAAAAGGCTGTTGATGGTGATGATGGAAGTTCAAAAACTAAAACCTACAGCTATAAATGACAACTCTAAAAAGTTTGAAACTGATCATAACAAAACAAAATGTGTGGCATACAACTACTATGGCCTTTGGTCATGGCTATTATAATATAGCTATAAAATAAATTTCTTGTTTGAAACTTTTTAAGTGTCATTAAGCTGTAGACAAGATTTAATTTTTGAATTTATTTTTATTAATTAATTAATTTTCGGGTGTATTTAAGCAAAATCGCAAGCTAAAACTGTATATGTATAGCTTTTGCTTGCGATTTTAACAAGCTAATTAAGCCCTTTCATTTGATACCCTACATGGACTGTTTGAATAATATATTTTATTTAGTTTCTTCCTTTATGCTCCTAGAGGGCGCTGTTGCTAATTTAATTTAACTTCGTAAGACGCTTCTAATGATACCTCATTTTTCCAGTTACGATGAGTAGTTTCGAAGATATAAGGGAACAGATGAACATTCTTATATACATACCGGCCAAAATCATAACCCTCCTTTTCGTTTCGCTGTAGTCAGTTAACAATTAATATAACTGTTTGTAGCTCGGTGGCGTAGTGAATTAGAACCATGGTCGTCGAGCGTTGTTGTTAAGCAACTTTCGCAATGATCTGTCACGGGATGGGTGACCGAAAAATTATTATCTCAAGCCACTCGGAAGGCACGTTAAGCCGTTGGTCGCGACTGCAGTCGTACTCGCTAATACCCTCCGCATTGGGCATTCCGCAAATTTGGCGTGGAGAGTCATTGCCCATCCTCCCTAACCATTCATAATTTATACCTGAACACTTGCAGTGGAGATGTAAAAGGGCTGATGATGATGATATAAACATAATAGTTACCTAATGCTTAAAAAAATGCTTAAAAATCCACTTAGTCCCCGGCACTCATTTCAAAGTACAGGGGACAATGTGGATTTTTTAAGTTTTTTTCATTAAGTATATTTTTCAGTATAGCATTGTGAATCCAAAGTTATATTAATAGTTACCTTTTTATAAATAAGGTAGTTTGGAGATTCTTCCGGTGATGGAATGGTTGACATGAGTGCTTGTACATTTGGTGGCAAATTCGAAATTGCATTATCCTTTTTCTCTTTCTCTTTATCTTCTTTAACATATTTAGAATTATCCCTGAAAGAATTAAAAGACAGTTAAACAATAAATCAAAACAACGTTGGGGATTGCCCAAGGTCATGGATTCCAGTCCCATCTCAGAGTGCCGAGGACAAAGTGAATTTTTATTAA